TTTTTTTTTTTTTTTTTTTTTTTTTTTCATGGCTGGTAACCCTGACCAATTTTTGTAAGAGGTGGGAATACAGGTACATGTTGTCTCCTCAACCTACCAAAGAACTGTTGGTGATAGCCTTTGTTTTTACTGAGGAAGATAGGGGTGTGAGATTCCCCATTGGTGAGGTTCTACTGATTCAGCTGACAAATTTTGTAATACTTTTAGTCTCTGTGACCCTTTGAGCTAGATGCTTTTCAGTGGGGAAACAGTCAAACTGGGTGAAAGTGCTGGATGTTAATATTAATTCCTAGTCACAGTAAAACTGAGAAAGGCACAAAAGAGTTTAAAGAGTTTAAAGAGTTTAAACTGCAAGAGACGCAGTGCAAGTAAAGGAGACCCTTTTAACTATTAGTCATATACATTTTTTATTGCTTTGCTGCTCACTAAGGAAAGTGCCTTACATCCTGAAATTCCATGCAGGATAGTGGATTACAATGTGAAAGATTCTATGAGTATTAGACAGTGACCTTGCCTGCAGAAGTGCTGAGCATCTGGTGCTTGCATTTGTGCTGAAAGCTGTGATCATTCCATGTCACTGTAGATCAGACCTAGCATGATTGTCCTGTTTTTAGCACAGAGCAGGAGAGCTCTTGGCACTGCTTTCCCTTGTGACAATGAAAGACAGTAAAAAACTTGGAATCCAGTTTGAGTAAAGCAGCAGTGGAGCAGGAAAATGAATGACACTTTCGAGTTTGCATCACTCAGATCTCTAGTCCAAAGGGCTGCTTCTTGCAAGCTCTTGCAAGTTGAACCAGCCAGGTTCTGCTCAGCAGTCTTTCATGAAGAAAACCCTGCTGCTATCATGACAACCCCACAAGAAAGTAGCTAACATGTGAAAGGGGTTTCTAAACTTAAGAAGAAATACCCCATGAGACAAAACAATGTTTTATAGGAAGGTTGACAAAAGTGAATGGGATTTTACTGTCTAGTTAGGTTAGCATCTATTAGAAACTACCGAGTTGAAGTATCACAAATCTGAGCTGTAACTGGCAGAGAAAAGAATTTTCAAAAAAAACAACTTCCTGAACTACATTTGGTCTCTGAACTAACTACATTTGATACTTTTGCCTAACTTCTTCCTCAAATTCTTTTCAGGTTTCATAAAAGTATATGTTCTGTGGTTATGAAGTTTTGAATGTCTCCGTATGTTTTGGGCATATGTCTTTTTATCTGGAAAAATGCCGAAATATTTCAGCAGTGAGAAAGTTTGC